AGATAGAGAGATAGATATAGATATGGTATTGCTACTCTAGAAACCCACCCTAAGACAGGGATTTTCCTCATAGTTTTGCAATGAAAACTGGCAGGGCTCCTGGAGGTGATATTCATGAAGGTGTGGACCTCCTGTTTTAATCAAACTAGATCATGTCCAGTCTCCAACAACTAGTCAATTCTATTTTTAGCATTCATAACAGGAGAAATATGAAATTTTCTGCTCCCACAAAGGTTTACAGCCACAGAAACCCCACACAGTGTTGCTGTGGGTCCTGTAACAACAATCTAATGCTGGTTTCAACAGCAGCAGTAGTAGCAGGGGCTGTTGCTTCTGTTCCCAGTAAGCAGTGATTCTCAATGATTTATTTGTCCCTTTGACTTTGGGGCCAGTGGTTTGCTCTGTGAACTCAGTTATCTGATGGATCTAAGAAGAGTTTTTGGATTTTTTCCTATTTTCTTGTTGTGAGGACAGGAGGGATAGATGACTTCCAAGCTTCTTACATATACACAGAATTCCTAAACAGTACGTTTACTGGGCTATTCCCCCTTGTACCTGTCTGGAGTGGATCTTCATTAAGCAGAAATGTTCTTGGATCTTTTCATAATTTTTCCCTTCAAAACGTATGGGTTGTGCAAGCCACATTTCCACCCTACAATAACATGGCAAAGATTATGGTAAGAACTTGGTGAAGGTGGGAGATTCTTACAGGTAATACTTTTGTCCTTTCTTAAATAATTCTTTGTGGTAAGTAATCAAATCAGTTTTAAAAAAAGAAGGATAGAAGAATGTGAAGTGGAAACTGTCTTTCTTTTCATTTCACCCCCAAAGGTGTAAGAACTGGGAGAAGGTACTCCAAATACTTACATTATTCAAGAGAAAGCACAGCAAACCATGACTCAAGAAAGGCCAGTGGCCTGGAACCAAGAAGCATAAGGGCCAGGAATCCTCTGGGAGCCTAGACTGGCTTCCAGCCCCCACAGCTCCACTGACCAGCCCACGAATTGGACTGGTCAGTGGCACATCTTTAAAATGGGAGAGCAGGCCTTTTGTCCATCTTTTCATAGTGTGTTGAGGCTGTGCTAAAGAAAAGACCCATCTAGGTGTGGTTCAGGGATCTGGTGTGGCACTGTGGATTAATACACTGGACTGCAAAATCAGTTTGAACCGCAAGGTAATCAGTTCAAGCTCACCAGATGCTCCTCGGAAACCCTATAGAACTGACTCAGTAGCACTTAACAACAACACAACAACAAAGGTGTGGTTCTGGTGTGGCACTGTAGGATAAGCACTGGTCTGCTAACTGCATGGTCAGCGCTTTAAACCTACCAGTCGCTCCTTGGAAACCCTATTTGTTGTTAAGTACCGTGGTGTCGGTTCCGACTCAGTGTTTCGAGGCTGCAAATTTTTACAGGAGCAGAAAGCCTCATTTTTCTCCAGTGGGGCAGCTGGTAGTTTCAAACTGTAGACCTTGAGGTTAGCACCCCGATTCGTAACCACTATGCTACTAGAGCTACATGGGAAATCCTATACAGGGTTGCTAGTAGTTGACCGATAAGATGGCACTTACTAATATTTATAGTTCTGTTTCTCCTGTACCGCTATCAGTCTGAAGAGAGAGAGAAAAAAAGGGGGGCTCTTTTCCCTTTCTAAGCAGTTCCAGATGTTCTTTATTGTGGTAAGCAGGAGATAACAGAGGGACAGATCACAGTGACACTGTCACCTGAGGCCTGGGAGGCTTCGTGCCTGCGACTGAGGCTCCAGAGCGCTGCTTCCAGCCAATTCGGCCACGCCCCGGCACACGTCCTGCGGCACCCGGCACGTGGTCCTCCGAGCCCCGAGAGACCTACAGCGGTTTGCTTTCAAAACTTGGACTGTCCCACAGAGCGCGCCTGGAGTCGCAAGCAGGGGTGCGCGCATAGTTGGCCCGGTTGCCTCCGCGCTGCCTTCCGGTCCTACTCAGCCTTCTGCCTCCTGCCGCCTGGCTGCGATGGTACGGCCCAGGCCTGGGGGCCTCGCGCGCGCGCGCGCGGCCGCCACTGCGATTGCAGAGTAGGTCCAGCTGTGACCCGTCCCCAGGGTCCCAGTTGGCGCTTGGAGAGCCCCCTGCCCTGATGCCAGTAGAGCGCCTCTTCTCGACCCAGATACCATCAGCAAAGATGCTGGACGTTGAGGAAAATGTGCTCCAGAAGGACCTCGGCGATGTTAAAAGCGGGCCCTGTAAACCTGAAACAGCAGGACAAACCCAGGAAGACGGGAGCAGACCGGAGGAACACCCTCCCCGTAGGTCCCACCAGCCTTTCCCTGTCACCCCCCTCGGGGGCTGCTTAGTGTGTGTCCTGCTGTCAGGGCTTCAGCACCTTTAACGGAACCCCAGACCCTTGCAGCCCCACTGTTTTCTCTGTTCATTCTGTCTCTCCTTATCTTTACCTCTTTATCTCCTTCCACCCCAATCTCTACATACAGGCCCCACCCCTCCCCCCCTTTGACAGAAGGTCTTCAAAGAGTTTGTTGTTGTTGTTATGTGTGGTGGAGTCTGTTCCGACTTATAGTGAGGGTACCCTGTACAGGGTTTCCGAGGCTGCACATCTTTACGGGAGCAGATAGCCTCATCGTACTTTTGAACTGCTGACCTTGCGGTTAGCAGCCCGATTCGTAACCACTACTCTATCAGAGTTCCTTTCAAAGAGTTTAGGTCCTTGAAAAAACAATCACCGAATCAAGATTATTTGCATTGACAAATTGAGTCAGTTCAAAGCCATCTTTGTTTGTATAGGCTCCAAAAAGTTCGTGGAAAAATACTATTATCTTCTCATTCCATTTTCCACGGAATTTTTGAAACTCCTTCATATTCTGTGTGGTACTGTAGGATAAGAACTGGACTGCTAACCACAAGGTCAGTGGTTCAAACCCACCAGCTGCTTCTCCGAAACCCCATACAGCGTCTCTATGGCATTTAACAACAACATTCTTTAAGTTTGAATGTAGATGGGAAACGGTAGATACCTGGGATAAATATAAAAGGTTCCAGACGATCTGAGGCATGAAGTTTGTGTCACACACTTGAAGTGATTCTTCTCCGCCTACATGGGGTCGCCATTAGTCTAAATGGACTCACAACATTCTCATTAGTGCAGAGGTCTCCTCCGCGCTTTGTGGTAGGTCAAACTTCACTGTGCTTTTATAAAAACATCCAGAGATTTTAACCAGCAGATCTGCCCTCGTCAGACAACCTAAGCCAAAATTGAATTACATTTGTGTCTCCTGTGACCACATGGGGTCGCTGCTGGTTAACAGACTGGCCCCAAAGTATCAGCTGAAAGCACTTTGGAACACTGATTTGGCTTACTCAGTAGTAGGGAACCTGTCAACGTTTTCTGAATACAATTTAAATTCTTAAAGTGATTGTTTAAGGGAATAAGTTTTTTAAAAAAAAACTTTATAAAATGAATAACCAAATTCCCCTTTTTTCCTAAATATGAATTAGGTTGTATTGTATTAGGTTGCTTTGATATTGTTACTTTTTACCTTTTCTTCTTGAAACTTTCTTAGTTATTAGAGCTAGATTTTTCTTATTTCTTATTGTGGTGGTGGTTATGTGCCATCAAGTCAGTTTTGACTCACAGTCACTTTATATAGGGTTTCTGAGCTTTCAAATTTTTACCAGAGCAGGAAATCTCATCTTTTTCCTGTGGAGCAGCTAGTAGATTCGTACTGTTGACCTTCCAGTTAGCAGCCCACAGGTAACCACTAAGCTACCAGGGTTCCTTTTTTACTATCATTGTTACATTTTATTTCTAATTTCCCCTTGAGCTCTCCCCTTTTCTCAATTTTAGAGTGCTGTTCTGGAGTTCCTTAATGTTAATTTTTTTTTTTTTT